AATACGAACATGTTCTTGCATGAGGCCCAATGGGCCTCATGCAAGAACATGTTCGTATTCTTCTCCTAAATTTCTCTTACTTTTGTATTTAAATATGGGCAGTTGGCAAATCTTACTGTGACTGCAAACAAGTTAGGAATTCATCTTGAAATCCAAGCCAATTCAGCACCATGCTGAGAAACTCTTCTTATACTGAGTCAATGACATGTTGGCATCTAGATTATAATGAACTGAATTTTTTTGGCTCATACCAGCTGTAGTGCTCGCTTCACATTATGGCGTTGTGTTTGTTTTTAATAAATCCTGTTTGGTCATGATCTATCAACTCTGGCAATATTTTCTAGTCTGTTTTGTGATAATTGAGCCAAATATCCAAGCGTTTATATTTACATCAGAGCTCTGTCTGTAACAACCACACTCTGATCTGTTTTTTCTCCTGACAACTATGGCTCTGTCGACATCTGCTTTAATAATTTTCTTTGGAATAATAATTTAGTTTATAAGCACTTTTTGTTTGCACACTGTCTCTGAAATCATCTTTTTTGTTAAAATTTAGGAGTTTAGTTTAGAGGTTACTTATTACAGTCTGTCACATATTTGAATCCCAGAAGTACTTTAAATAATGATTTGTCCTGTCCTGTTGGGGGCTGTAAATATTCAACTGTGTCTCTTCTGGGATTTTTTRAACAAATTTATTCATTTCATTTAAAAACAAAACAAAWACATACAACAAATACAACACAAATAAAATGAAAGGTAGCAGAAAGAARAAAAATTCTTATTGATACCAGCCCCTTTTTTAATAAATAAAGTGAAACAATAATAGTCTTCACTTTGACACTATTGGAAAAAAATCATTTCTCTATTGACTCTATWGTGCCCTTCATGACTGAAATTTCAAAGATTTTTGTCCTTTATCTGCATGTTTTATTGGTATATTAATAAAATGTTCATCCTTGCACTGTGAGGGCTAAAAAAACAGAAAAACTGTTTCAGATTAATTTCTGTCTTGGATCAAACACTCTAAAATACATTTTCACCCTGTTCAGAAAAATCTTCTTTCAAGCCAACCTGAGCACTGTTTCTTTAATTCAGTTTTTCTTTCTTTTTTTTTTTTTTAAGGTTTCTGTGTGAACTGATAATTTTCCTTCAGATGACTTTTTCCATCCCTGTTTGACCTTTTGTCTTTTGGCCCATTTTCCCTCATACATGTGTAAAAACTTTTTTAAATGATTAATTTGAGGTTTGTTTCGAGGTATAATAGTCAACCAGTCAGAAAGAACSCATGGTACACAATCATCCAGTTTGYCTTCACAAAATAAGTTTAACAGCTCACCAGCTTTAATTGACAGGATGACACTGAATGAACTGAATTGAAACCTTCAGAAACAGTACTTATTGAATAAATATTTATTTATAACTGTCTAACCTTTGAAGCCAATCCAGTTTAATATTTTTCTCTCTTCAAAACCTCTTGCAATAAGCATGAAATTGCATATAACAGTATATTCAACATTTGACCAAACTATTTACAGGTTTGTTACTGTATATATACATTCTCTCATGGAATACTACGTCTTTAATAATGTTTTTATGCTTCAAGTCTCAATGAGGCAAGAATTTTTTTAAACTGAAATGAAAAAAATCTAAATAAACAAAAGCTTCTACATTATGTAAATGTGTGATTGTAAACATTATTAAAGCAAAGACAGACATGAAAAATAATGAGCTTTATGAAGTGCATCTCACCGCCTCCATAGATCTGGCAAAGGTAGGGAAAACGCCACAAGTTTCCGAGACCCACAGCATAGCCGATACATGTCAGCAGGTACTGAACCTTGTTGTCCCATTTGGGTCTCTCCTCCTCACCAGAACGTTTCGTTTCTCGCATCTTGAACTGATAAAAAACACAATCTCTGCACAATCTGAGAGCTACTTTTACCCACAATCCTACATTCACTCAGACTGCAGTCAGTCTAGTTTAAATGATAAATATTTGTAATGTAGTCCAGAACATTCCAGTGTCTCCTCAGTGTTTGAGTAAATTCTCTCTCTGGTTTGGTCAAAGTGATGTCTTATGTTTGCCTCTCGCACCTCTCTATGACTCCACTGACAGAGCTGCAGATTGAGAATAGGAAGCTCAGATTTTATTGGTTTTATGAAGAAATCAAGTCAAATGGGTGTGGGAGGACCTGGCATACATATTTAGTGGTTAAACATCCCTCCATATTTGTAATGGGTGTGTTTTCAGGCTTAAATTAATGGATAATATGATGCTGCTAACCTACAGTAAGTTGTCAACTTTTTATCTGTTTAATTTATGCAGCAGGACAAGTTATAATTGTTAGGTGTGTTTGTGTTCAGCGAGCACCAGAGGTCACTATATACCAAAAGCTGGATGCACTTTTTGCTGGTACATTTTTTTTTATCTTAAAGTGATACCTAAATGATCTCTTGAGATTTATATTATTTTAGATTGCAGTTTTATTTCCTTTGCTGACTCACAGGTTAGAAAATATTGAATATAGTCAAAATAGCTTTATCAGTCATGCTTCCTTTCTTCTACAGCTCATTTTTTATGTCTGATATTGAATAAATAGCCAGCTTCATTAGCAGCTTTGGACCTTTTTGTCCCAAGTTTCCTTTTCCGCCCCCTTAGTTCATGCAGGTTAAATACATTTGTGCATTGCATGCGTGATAACTATGCAGTTTGTGTGTTTTTATAATGGTAAGGGGATGCGTTGCCTTGCTCTAACCTAACACATCCGTAGCTAGTTCTATCAGCATTTATAACATGCTGTGGCTAAACTTGTTTTCATCTGTTGTTATCAACATGCTAATTAACTGTAACAATACCTAGGACATGCAGTTTTATGGAAAAAGAAAGCCCACCTTTTATAGTTTCATGGTATTTTGAATCAAAATATAATAAAAATAATCTGCTTTCACCAGCTTCCAAAATTATTCTGATCTTACTTGACAAGAACAAAAACACCCAACATACTCCACTCTGTCATTCATACATAAAAAACTTAGCTTTGTTTGTGTGTGCATTTTTATTTCCTTCTGAAATGTGAGAAAATGGGACAAATCAGCTGATTAAAATAGCAGAATAAAACAGTTTTATTTACAGCAGATAGACAGTACCTAAAATTTTGATACCTTGCTTGTGTGTTTTCAGAGGTGGGAAGTAACAACATAAATTAAAGACGTAACAACTTGATTAACCCAATTTGCCCATGTAAATCTGTTATGGTGGTCTGGACGGTCCGTAGGTGTGGAATGGCAGCCATACTTCCACCACTGTGTGTGACTAAGGAGTGAAGGAATAATGCATGAAAATGTACAACATCTGTAACCATCTAGAATAGTGCTGTAAAAGACATATACAGCAGAAAATTCAAATCAGCTGATTAAAATAGCAGAATAAAACAGTTTTATTTACAGCAGTGTTAAAATAGAAACAGTGTTCGTTATCCTTTACCTGTTCTGATCTGATACCAGATAATAATAATGACGTGAATGTTTGAGTGAGCCATGCAAAACCATTCGGACATAGCTGTGGACTGTTTAGCTTTTTATGTGCCTTCAACTGGCACCAGCCAAATAGTGCCTCCAAACCCAGAAACACACATCAGGTAACAGCCTTCTCCACATCCTGACTCCACCTCACGACATAAATTAAAGGGGCAGGCTATCTCTACACGGAGTCAAAATGTCAGACATCGCCTCTCACCCTAATGGTTCATTACCGTTCTTATTTATGTGTTGTTTATAAGTCAGACATGTATCTACTAACAGCTTCCTGAGTCTGTGAGACCCTGCTCAAGAGCCTCACACAACTCAGTCTGCACATAAAATCATCAGTTAAGTCAAAGATAACCACATTAGGGAAATATATTACTGTTCACCTAATAAAAGACTAAACAATATGTAGTGTTTTTAAAAGTCAGTAGTAAACATCCCAATAAATTCCTTCAGCAGATAGACAGAAAAAAAATTTATACCTTGCTGTGTGTTTTCAGAGGTGGAAAGTAACAACATAAATTAAAGACGTAACAACTTGATTAACCCAATTTGCCCATGTAAATCTGTTATGGTGGTCTGGATGGTCCGTAGATGTGGAATGGCAGCCATACTTCCACCACTGAGTGTGACTAAGGAGTGAAGGAATAATGCATGAAAATGTACAACGTCTGTGACCATCTAGAATAGTGTTATAA